TGTCGGGGAGAGGCCCCGACTGAGCCCAAGCTCACCTCCAGGCGGGAGGGCGCGCGGGAGGACGGCGTATACCCCGCTTCGGCGACAGCCGGCCTGTGCCAGCCCTGCCCAGACGTCTGGGTGCCGCGTTCTCCTGTCCACGTTTACTGGTTATCACTCGCATCCGTCTATAAGGCCAGGTTACTATGAAAAACCCGCCCCGAGTGGTATGCGCTGCAGTTTTGTTTTGCTTTTCTTTTAAAGGGAGTAACTTCTGCAGACAAGGTAGAGTAACGGTCTGAAACAGCCAGGGGAAAAGAAAGAAGGCATAAAATACATTTCCAGAGAACATCAGCCACAAAGGACTCTAACCTGAAAGATAGGGGTGCCCAGTGGAGAAGCTAGGTGAGACCTCACTCAGTCTGTGAGTGAAAGAGATGGCACCAGGAGTCTGGGTTTAAAAATTACCCAGAAATGCCAGGAGGTAAATATATGAGGACACTTCAAATAATTATTTTAATTGTTCTGTAATATGCAAGAAACAAGAAGAAAGACTGCATATATTCAGTCATAGAACTCACAAAAACTTAAAACTAAACATATAGAAATTACAGTTCCTAAATCAAAAAACATTAGTGAGCTTAAAGGCAGCATAGAAACTATTACAGCTCATGTTTATGTGCCAGCCCAAAGCTTCTTGCGCTCATAGGTGGGTTCTGAGGAGGTGATACTCATCAGTGCATTAGCCATCCAAATTGGAAAGGAAAAATAAAATCATCTCTATTCACAGATGCCATGATCCTATCTACAAGTCCCAAATAACCTGCAGAAAGCTACTAGAATAAACATTCAGCAAAGTTGCAGAATACAAAAAAGTCAGTGTGCTTCTACATACCTGCAATGAGCAATCCAGAAAGAAACTAACTTATGAATCCTACTTACAAAAGTATCCAGAAGCTCAGTGGCACTACACCTCCTAAGTGCAAGGTCCTGAGTTAGAGCCCCAATACGGGGGGGGGCATCCAAAAGAATAAAATACCTAAGGTGTATGTAAGCAAGGAGGTAAGAGACTTGCTCACCAGAAACTATAAAACGTTGCTAAATTACCCAAATCTGAAATGAATGGACACTCCACGTTGATGGAATAGACAACACTGTCAGGATGGTAATGCTGGCCACAGATTTCATCTACAGATGGGACACAATCTCTGTCACAATTCTAACAGCTCTCCCCAAGGAAAGGCCAATCCTCAAATGCATACGGAATCTTGAGGGGTCTCAAGTACACCCTTGAATAATAAATTTGGAGTATTTGTTCCTCCCAGTTACAGAACTTACTATAATCAAAACTATGTGGTCCCAACATAAGAATGGGCATACAGACTAATGGAATAGAACTGAGACCCAGAAGTAAACCAATACAGCTCAATTGATTTTCAATACTGTGTCAAACTGGGCATGGTGGCATACACCTGTAATCCCAGCACTTGGGAGACTGAGGCAGGAGGATCGCTGTGAGTTCGAGACCACCTGGGCTACATAGTGAGTTCCAGGTCAGCCTCAACTACATTGTGAGACCCTGTCTCAACCCCCCCCAAAATATTGTGTCTATGCAGTGGAGAAAATACTCCTTTCAGCAGGTGGTTCTGGGAGAACTGGATTCGAAAGAATGAGCCAGAGCTCTACGTCACACCACACACAAAACTTAAACACTCACAGCCTAGCTAGAAGTAGAGCCGTGTAACCTTGAGGAAAAAAACAGACCGAAATCTTTATGACTTTGGATTGTGCAGCAAGTTCTCAGATATAAATAAAAAACAACAAAATAGGTAAATCATACTTTATCACAATTTAGAACTTCTGTACATCAAAAAAATATTTTCAAGAATGTAAAAAGACAACCTGTACATTGGGAGAAAATATCTGTAAATCATACACCTGATAAAGGTTTGCTATCCAAAATATACAGGGAATTCCTGTAACTCAGTAACAAAAAGATAATCTAATTTTTTATGAATCATAAACTTTATTTAAAAATGTAAACATCACTAAAACATGCATACATGTTAAAATCATAAAATTACAATTTAAGATAATCTAATTTTTAAAAAGGGTAAAAGTCTAATAAACATCTCTCTGGAGGGTGCACAAATGTCAATAAAAATACGAGCAGATCTCAACATCTTTGGTGATTTGGTAACCACACTGGGATGGCTATAGTAAGTCTTAAAAAAAAATCAGATAAAGTGTTAGTAGTGAGGATGTGGAGAACCAAAATTTGAAGTTTTGATTGTGGAATTATAAATGACTGTACAGCTGCTATGGCAAATGGTTGGCAGTTTTTCAAAAAGCTGAATATTGTGTTACCATGCGACAACATGGCACCAGTGATTCCCCTCCTAGGTATACGCCTAAAAGAACTGAAAAGGGACTCAAACATACCTATAAGCCAACATCCACAGCAGCATTACAACAGCCAGAGTGGAAACCACCCGCACATTCTTGATGGATGGGTAAGCAAAATGTGGTCTAGAGACCCACAAAGAAACAGTACTAGACCATAAAGGGATCAAGGCTCCAGTACACTCCCAGCACAGATCAACCTCCAAAACGTGCTGTGTGAAATGAGGCAGACATAAAATGACGGATACTGCATGCCATTCCCCTCAGATGGAAAGTTAGAAGAGGTAACTTCAACAAGCCAGAGAGTGGATTACAGAAGAAGGGGAGAGGGAGGGCTACTTTGTGGCTATAGAGTTTTCTTTCTGGAGCAATGAAAACTTTTTTTTTTTTTTGTACCGGGGATTGAATTTGGGAACTTACGCTTGCAAGGCAAGCAGCAGAACCACTGAGCTAAATCCCCAGCCCAACATTTTGGAAATAGATGGTGATGTTTGCACAAAATTGTAACTAGAAGCATGTGTGTAATCCTAGCACCGAAGAAGACTGAGGCAAGAGAGTTGCAAGTTTGAGTTCTGCTTGGGCAACTTACCAGGACCCTGCTTCAAAATTTTAAAAAAGGCTGGGAACACAGCTCAGTGACAGAGCAACCCTGAAGTTAATCCCCCACAGCAAAAAAAAAAAAAAAAAAAAAAAAAAGTGAATGTGGTTAACACTACTGGTTACACACTTCAAAGTTAAATGTTACTTTATAAATCTTGATCACAATAAGAAAGTGAAGGGAGGAAAGAGAGGGAAGAACTGAGATTTCCACGCATACACACCAACACCATGTAGGGATGTGGTCCTCACGTAATGCAAACGTACTAATAAAGACTAAAACAGGAAAAGGAAGCGAAACAACAGGCTTCAACTGGAAAGATGGGAGAACCTTGGAAAGAACATGCTTTGTGACAGATACCAGACATGAAAGGCCACAGAGCACCACAACCTCATGCACAGAGTGTCCGGATAGGTGAACGGGAAGGAAGGAAGCAGACCGGGTTTGCATTTTGTGGGGTGGCTGACAAGAATCGATGGTAGACATTGCTGCACAGCTCTACATGTAAGCTAAACTACTGTTTTACATCCTTTAAATGATGGGTTGTATGGTAATCTGATTGTCTCATTAGATCCATTTGTGGAAATGGGCAAAGGGCTCGAGAAGACAGGTGGCTGGGGACAGGGATTCTGCACAGACATGTCCGTTGCCTAAATAAACGCACGAAGAGATTCTGAACACCTTAGCCACCAAGGAAAGGCAATGCAGAAGCACAGGGGATTCTACTCTACCCTCCAATGGCTCTGATACAGAACAATATGGTAGTAAATGTTGCTGGGGGCTGGGCGGAACTGGAATTCTACGTGGAATCATAAAACGCTTTGGAAAACTACCCAGCAGGTCTGATTCCTGGGGGACCGGCTGTGGCCCCCTGAATCTTCCGGGAAGTGGGAGGCTCACCTGTCCGCAGTGCTCAGCACAGCACTGCTCATGATGACCCTGAAGTGGACGGAAACTGAATGGCTAACAGCTAAGGAGCAGGTGAGTGACAGTTTCTGAGTCTTCACAGGTCAGGGTCCAGACACAAGGAAAGGAGGGCTGCCGTGGCTGGACCTGGTGTGGAGGAAGCAGCTGCAAAGCCCCACAGGCCGGGCAGGGACCCTGACCCTGTGAATATGTATCTATTCACATGAAATGCAACAACTAGGACTAGTAAAGGATGCTACTTTTCTCAGTGCGGAGATTTACAGTAACGTTTAAAATTAATCTATTTATACGTATGTATATTTTCCAACTATCCTATAATAAATACATAATAGTTTTATAATTAAGAAAAGACTGAAATATAAAAGTTCCAGGGTAATTTTTTTTTTACTGTTACAGAAGGGCAGCAGGTTTTAAAATGGGAAAAGTCTCTGGTCTTTTTTGCTCCCAGCCATGCGCGTGTCCGAACAGTGTACATTTGCAAGCACAGGAGACTCATTTGTACATGCTGTCATGAGTTACTCACCTGGACTTTTCACCTGTGTACTAATAATACACAGTTCCCACATCTTTATAGGTCTGTGTGTCCTCTTGCAGGCCTGATGTCTGATCGAGTATCATTTCGACAGTATTCCTTCGTTTCTATTGCAGACAATGCCATGAACATTATTGTGTGTGTGCACGTGTGTACCAGTGTCCACCCAGAGGGAGATTTCCTGCAGAACAATGATTGTTTAGTGAACTCTTTTTAGAAATAAATTTCCAGGCTTTGGGGCCCGAAATTCGACAATTGCTGTTGTACACTGTGATGCACACCAGCTCCACTAGATGTCAGGAGAGAGCCACAAATCTCTGCCCCCACATCCTGCCAAATGTGTTCCTGGGTCATGGCACTCTGCCTGCCTGGCAAGCGCACAAGGTCCTGAATTTGATCCTCTGTATCACAAAAAACAAAACAAAAATAAAAACACATGTTACTGGGATGCTTATAGTAAATCTAAAAAAATGATGTTAGTGAGGACGTGGAGAAACCAAAATCTGAATTGACTGTGGAAATGTAAATGGCACAGCTGCTATGGCAAACAGTTGGCAGTTTTTCAAAAAGCTGAACACTGTTACCATGAGATATGGCACCAGTGATTCCCCTCCTAGGTATATGCCTAAAAGAACTGAAACAGGAAACAAACATACCTATAGGCCAACTCCACACCAGCATTACAACAGCCACAGTGAAAACAACCCATGCTGGTCTGGGCTTTTCTGAATGGTGGTTTTGCTGCTGCTCACCTCGAACAACCCCGATCTCTGTTCCTACTGGGAAACTGATGCTGCATTTCCCAGCGGTGCTCACAACACTGCTGCAGTGGCCTGCAGAAAAGAGGCTAAAAAGATGCCATTAATGTCATCCAGATGACCGTGGACATGCTGAATCCTGACAGCGACAGCAGCTGCTAACAGTGCCAGGAGCATGAGTGACAACAAAACACCAAACATATTCCTAATTGTCACTTTGTGAGCAAATACTTTCTTGACGCCTTGGTCATAATAGCAGACTAACATGACAAGCGAGTGGTGTGACAAGATCCTGGGGGGCAGCTTAGTGGCTGAGCCCTTGCCTCACCCGCACCATGCCCAGGATTCAATCTCCAAACTGCAATTACCAGAAAGGCTCCTGGACATTCCCCGTGCAAGTCTTCTATGGAGAAAGGGTGCTTGCTCTGGAACACCAGTCTCCTTCCTCAGAGCCAGGCACCGTGGAGTCGCTTTCAGGCTGGGAAAGAAGTGGTTTGCTAGGCTTCTGCAGAAAAGCGGTGTCAGCTCTGCTTAGAAGCAGAAATGAGGAGCAAAATTCCATTGTGCTTTTAAAACCTGACTTTGGGAAATCTGAGGTAGGGTTGGCAAGAGGAAACAGGTAATACAGCAAAGGGTCACATTGGTATCTTTCGTTTTAGTGATGTGAGGACATTTGAGGCTCACAGTAGATTTCAATATTACCTTGGGGAAGGATAAGGGAAAGAAAATAAGGGAAAAGAAAAAATATGAGAAAAGGAAAAAATGGAAATAAAGTCTCTGTAAATGGGGGAGGGGGTTGAAGGGAGGAAAGGGGTATGGGGGAAAAATGAGAACCAAGAGCCGTCATGTAAAGGTACAAGATCCCAATGATGAATATAACTGTATTGTACACTTAAAAAGTACCAATAAAATCAATGAAAAAACATGACCTTGGATTTCAATTTTTGCTTTTTTTCAGGGTGAGGATTCCAACCCAATCACAGTGAACCTAGTGCTGGTGGCAGGAACTCTATTTGCTTGGACAGCGTGGCTGGTTGATCGGCTCTGTACAGTCTTTCCTTTCTTCCCCTGCTCTGGCCTAGAAGCATCTGACTCTGCGACAGTCCTGGGGCAACACATGAGGTGGACAGGCAGGAAGTAGCCCCCCAACTTCTTCCATACGTTGTTTCTGCCAGGTGGTCCATTTTCTCCCTAAGGTAAACACTGTTCAGCTATAGCAATTTTAAACTCATTTATTTTGGGGTTTTTTTTCCCTGTACTGGGGATTGAATTTGGGACCTCGTGCTTTGTGAGGCAGGCAGTGGAACTACTGAGTTTAATCCCCAGCCCTATATTCATTTTGTTTTGTTTTTTGAGACAGGGTCTCACCGTATAGTTGAGACTGACCTGGAACTCACTATGTAGCCCAGGATGGTCTCGAACAGAGATCCTCCTGCCTCAGCCTCCCAAGTGCTCGGATTACAGGCATGCACCATCATGCCCGGCCTATTCATTTATTTTTAACAGCAAAGTCTTTTGTAAAGAATAAAATTTTGACACAGTATAGAGACTAACAGATAAAAAGAAAACCGGGTTGTGTACAGCTCAGCTGTGGAGCATTTGCCTGGTACGCGGACCTGGGTGGGCTCCACGGCCAGCGACCACCCCCACGGTGGGACTCGCTATGAGCAGCAGGATCACAGGGTTTTCCAGGCGGCTGTTCAGGAGTCAGAATTTCCGTTCCCCATGGAGGGAGCCCCAGCCCCCTCCAGGTTCCTGACTGCCAGCCTGGGCACCATCCTGACTTGCTGAACAAGCATCTGCAAACACCTGCATCCACAGGGCTGGGCGGAGCCAGGGCACAGTGATGACTGCGCCCTGTGCCCGTCCTTGAGGAGCTGAGTGTGAGTCCTGCTTTCCCAACCTGGGGAGGCCACGTCAGCCCGGGCTGCTGGTTACCAGCAAACTCTCCCCAGCCCCCCGCAGCACCGCGCTGCGCTGGGTAAGGCGTTGCCTAGAAACCCGGCTCCTCAAGACCAGGCGTCTGGGGGAGGCAGGGACACGCGTGGGTGCAGGCACCCTCCTGAGGGGCCAGGTGGCAGGCTGCTGTCACAGGAGAGGGCTCCAGAGCAGCGGCCGAGCTCCACGGGCCCTTGGCTCATCCTCTTTCTTCTGCCCCAGCATTCGGTTTGCTGGACGGCGACACAGGAGAGCCAGAGCGCCCGGGCTTGCTCCTCCCTCCGTGCTGCCCTGACATGGGCCGAAACCAGCTGCCGCGGCGCGTCCC